TTACTCACTTTCATCTGTAAACGGTTAAAACAAGGTTTTTAGAAAATCACTGTTTAACCTTCCCAGTTCTTTGCATGTGGGTTTTCTAATGTCAAATGACCAACAAAACCTAAACGCTCATTAATGGTTACCTCAAGTTCAGGCGCGTTTTCTTAAATGTCGGCACAAAATCCACCAACGTCGCGCTAAATTATAATATGACGAAATCTCATTTATTAAGTATGTTCAGATTAGAAACGCTGCTTAAAATACACCAACGAAACTTGCCACATTTCAAATTTTCCTTTCTAAAGACGAGCCAAATTTGGAAAAGAGAACCAACTTTCAAAAACCATTGTCACTAGAAGTTTTGATCATCACACGAAAATAATGTCCCTGCAATTCACCCATACAACAGATATGTCTGTTTAAATGGCCATACTATGAATGTTGTAAGCTTTGAGCGAGACTATACTTCGTTGTGTTTCTTCTCGCTTCCATCTCGGCCTGGCTCATTTTGAGATTAGAGGTGTTACACGGGAATAACAAACACAAAGAGCAAAGATAAAGACCATAGATGTTTGACAGGAAATGAGCTAACCACACCAGGGCACTCGCCAACCACCCACTCTCTGTCTTCAAGATCCCGAGACCATTAGGATAGTGCACACAGATTAACTTTATCAGCTTTGCGTCGAGTGATTTGAGTGATACAATTAGTCGAGCATGCACATGGAGAAATCAGAGGGATGCCAAATCCTTTTGTCATGTTTAAGAATTTTGTTTTGTTCACAGGCCTACATTTTTGTATTCCAAATACATTCTTGGAATATACATGCATATATGCATTAAAAAAACCCAAAAAAACAACAACCTAGGACCAGAAAATCGTTTCCCTGTGTACATGAGGGACTGTACATAAACTTGGTTCACACAATATGATGTCATTTATTTTTTGTTTTTAGTAAGCATTTTAAAGTTCTTGCAACAAAATCAGGCCATATGTGCTGAAGACTAGAGGTGTTACAAGCAAGTAACAAATGCAAAAAAGAAAAGTTGAGGACAATAGATGTTAGGAAAGAAGGAGCAATCCGTACCAGCACACCCGCTAACCACCCACTAATTAATGTCACGCGACCAGCTTTTAGTGGAATGATCCGAGTGATACATACTTGCTGAATCCACCTGGTAAGAGCCAAGGCCCACATACTCCGCTTGCGTACGCTTGCGTACTCACAAAGTGTGTATGGAAGTGTTCAACCTTTTATTTCTATATTACCTGGGCCCACTGCGGGCGACACGCTTCCTCACGCTTACGTGAAAAACGTATGACGTCTGGCAGTGTCAGGTCAAACATTTTCCGTACGCGCTGTGGCTTCACCGACACTGATTTCGTTGATTGTCTTTTGTTTTCCCACTTTACCTTTAACATTAAATTAATGCCACTTGTCTTTGATGATCTCAGTATTCTCAGTCTCCAGACTGATTTTTTTTTTTTTTTTTTTTTGGGGGGGGGGGTTGTTTTGTTTCTTCGTTTGACATGTTGATTTAAGAACAGTCAATAAATTAACATCATTGTTAATTATTGAATTTGTTATTCTGAATTTCAATAGTCGTTTTGTTATTTGTTTATTTTTGCTCACATTTTTCAAAGTAAACAAATGTGCCTGAAAAGAACACGCTCTGTGGGAGACACAGAGTGGACTCTTACTTAAATGACGGATACGGTAGAGACCTTTTACGTAGGTCATATACTACAATGACAACAGCGAAAAAAAAAAAGAACAACAACAGCAGAAACAACAGCAACAGCAACAGCAGCAACAATATCTTACATCAGTGTAGCTGTCAGCCTTTCCATTGGTGGAATGGCCTTCTTCCAGTTCGTATTCTGTTTTTTAATATGTAGTCCACATAATTCCAAAAGGCTTTGGAAGCTTGCCTTCGTCATGCGAAACTAATATGCAAAGCATGTTTCGTTATCATCAAGAATTTGGTGCAACATTCTAAATTCTCCTGCTTTGCCTCGTTCTTTGCATATGGGATGTACCCAGAATCGGCGGTTACCTTGCATATTATACCTCCTCTTCAACCACCACCATTAAAAAAAAAAAATTCTGCTTCATTGTGCCATTTCTCTAGATCTAGGTCTGGTGCGCAAAAAAGAATTGACATACGTGTGAGGACGCTGTGGACATGGGCTACCCGCTACGTTAATGTACGCAATTTGTGATGAAGCGTGATAAAGTGTGAGTGCTGACGCTGTGGACCCCGGCTCTAACATAATGGTCACTGTTAAATCCAGCATAAAATAACATTATACTAATACATTTTTCTAAAAAGCTTTTATAGCCTACTTATAAAGAGAAAATATCAGATATCAAAACTGGACGCTACCATTAAACTTCCTTCATACTATCTCATAAGTCCACTTCCAATGGGAATCCCAAACTGCCTCAAACAACCTGTATGTTCAAAGCTTGAAGGCAGATTCACCCGGGTTATCAGCATATATAATTATTATATTTATCTAGAATGACACCAACAGAGCCGATAGTGCGCCCTGTATACGTCGGCCACGGTACAGAATCACACTAAATAATTTTGTGAGGCATCATGGTGAAATCAGGCGCTCGTTAAAACAATAAAATCGAAGAAACAGACATTTTCCCCCTCAAGTTTGGCAATTTTTGTCGAATTTTTATATCTTTTGGACTCAACACATTACACGTCCATAAAACTACTTTTTCGTGTGAATTTTACTGAACAACTTTGGTTATAACACAAAATATGTAAATTTTCAGTTTTCAAGGACTCTCAAGCTATAGAAGTTACAAAACCTTGACGACCATTTTCTCGCATTTCTTTTTTACCTCAGAAAACAGGTTAACCCCAATCAAGACAGATGGGTATTTTCTTCACCGAAAAAAAGGACAAATAAACAAGCGCTACGGATATACCAATAACTCCACATTCCCATAAAATGACGAGCGCCTGATTCCACCGCGTCATGATAAATGTGTTGATGCTATTGTAGAGATGCAGACGTGGGCTCGCGTCGGCGGTCTTGGGGTAGCTAGGGTGCTCGCCTCTCATTCAATAATAGGTTCCGGGTTCAAATCCTGACAGCGACGAGAAAATTAGAGAAATTTCTCCGTTCACCTCCTTTCTTGCTCTCTAATTATGTTCTATAGTCTGCTTTTGTCTCCACTTCCCCCCTCCCCCTCTTCTGGGCTCCTGAATCTTTCTGCAGCCTTTCAACTGCTACTCATTAATTCTCCTTTGTGCTGTCTTTCCGCAACACCCCTGATCTTAGGGTACATAAGATCGAACATGTAGCCTTCTCGGGTAAGGGTGAAAATGAAAAATTTTGGAGGTCCTGTGTGCAAGTCCTAAAACCGGGAAGAGTGGGCTGAAGCCGCCTCCCGGTCAAAATTAAAATATTAATTCCTACCAAACTGAACATGTTTAATGTGTGCCTCGCGCTCATATGACCTTATGCGGTGGCGAGCGCCGTAAAACAATTTTTAAAAAATAAAAAATAAAAAAACAAAAATACAGATGGCAGAAAGTAAATTTGATCGCCACTTGCCACTTACACTTGTCAAATATTGCTAGCTTATTTTGGGAAAATGGTTGTTGTTGTTGTTGTTGTTGTTGTTGTTGTTGTTGTTGTTGTTGTTGTTGCTGTTGTTGTTATCATCCAGCAACAGCTGGGCTCTCGCCTTTCTGTCCAATGCCATGCAGTGATAAGTGCAGGTTTGCTGCAGTTGCAGTAAAGTTCCATAGAGTGTGTTGTTAATGTTAGGTCTCGGAGGGAGAAGGGTAGTCTGATGTTATTTAGGGCCGAGCAGTGGAACAGGTGATGATCCACAGTCTCATATGCACAGTCACACAAGGGGCACATTGGGGGAAGTTCCGGGTTTATTCTGTTCAGGTGGGAGTTGAGCTGTATAATATGTTCTGTTCTAGTTCGTAGGCGGAAGATCGAGGTCTGTTTCTTTCTCTGTATGTGGTTGATATTGTCATTCCTTTTTGTTGTGGTCATATGTTTGAAAACTGCTGTGTCTGTCTTTCCCAGGGCCCATCTGTTCATCCAATCTTGTTTGTTGTTGCTTTTAATTTGTTTAGCAGTGTTGTAAGAAGTTGGAATGTTGGGTTGTTCCTGTCTCGATCTCCGTTTGGCAAGTGTGTCTGCTCTGTCATTTCCAGGTATGTTTGAGTGTCCGGGGACCCACTGCACTACTAGGTTGGTGCCACAGAATGTTATAAGATGATGGGAGCCAAACGGTATATTTTGAGTCAAATCTCGGTTTAGATGATGGTCATTTTCTACGGCTTGTAAGACTGATAGTGAGTCAGTGAAAATCACAATACTCTGTGCTTTTCCAGGATGAGTGTCAAAAACTATGCGGAGATTGTACAGTGCTGTTTTAATTGCCATCATTTCTGCATCGTAGTTTCTGCATTTCTCTCCACAGGCTGCAGAGACCTCATTGGAACTTCCATCTGGGTACTGTATTAGTATTCCATATCCGGCTTTGGTTGTGCATTTGAATGCTGAGCCGTCCGTATAGACGTGTATCCACTCATCTGAATAGCTGTCGATTGTTTGATGTGATGCAAGCATCAGCGTCACTGGGTCTGAAGATTTGGTGCTATTGTCTCTGAGAGATGTTGTAATGATAGGCTTTTTTAAAAAGAAAAGTGGGGAGGGATGTTTTGGTTGACTGTATGTATGTATAGTATAAGGTTTTACGGCGCTCGCAACTGCTAAGGTCATATGAGCGCGCGAAACACAAGTTGTT